ATAATTAATTAATATTCAATTATAATAAATAAAACTCTAAAAATTCAAATATAATTAACTAAAATTTTTAACTATAAAATGAAATATAAATTGTCCAAATATAAATAAAAATCAATTTAACATAAATAACTAAACTAACAATTAACAAATTTGTTCCAAACATAAACAAAGATTAATCCAAGCTAAACTAAAACATAAACAAAAATTAAACCAACAATGGAGGGGAAGGTGAAAATGAAAATTGAGAAATGAATTAGGGTTAAGGTTAAATGTAAGTAAGGGAATGAATTGGGTTAATTTTTATGGATTGGGTTGGGTTGGGTTGGGTTGGGTCAGGTAAAATTGGGTTAAATTTAATTTTGATTGAATTGAGTTTGAATTTGAGTTTAGATTTGTGTTTGGGTTTGGATTTGGATTTGAGTTTGAAAGATGAATTAAATTTAAAATAAAATTAATTTATTTTTATTTTTATTTTTGCAGGGATGGGGATCCCCGCAGGGCCCCACGAGGTGGGGAAAATTCCCCGCAAAATTTTGCGGGGAGAAAATGCTCCCCATCCCCGCCCCGCAGGGAGGAATATTCCTCCCCACCCCGTCCCCGTGACGAGGATCCCCGCGGGGATCAGGAAAAATTGTCATCCCTAAGCCAAACTAAGAAGCCATTGTTGTCTCGAATTTGATCTTACTATAAGAGAATCCGTTTTTCTTTTTCTCTTTTTTTTTTTAAAAATTTTGATTTGATTATCAAATTTTGGCTTTAATGAAATCATGGAATTTGAATCAAAATGTCAACAAAGGAATGGAAAGCATAGAATAGAATCTATCCAAAGAGAAAACCACGTTGAAAATTTTGGAAATTTTTTTAAGAATATAATGTGTGAGTTTAACCAGAAAGAGAATAATTTTAAAAAGATAAAGTGATATTTTAGACTTATGAATCCCTAAAATTAAGAGTAATTAATTGATTTTCTTAATTCTTGTGCACATCTCTAAAACGTCTACTAATTTGGCAAAAGAGGAAGTACTAATTGTGAGCTTACCTGCAGGATAATGAAACAAGCATAGTTGAAGCAGCCAGCCACCACCGTTAGGCTGTTGTTCCTTGAAGACTCTCCTCCATCTCCACATCATGTCATTGTTGTGTCTCGGCCACAAGACCAAAAAAATAATAATTAATCAACTTATCAAAAAATGTTGATAAGAAAATATCATTGAAATAGACGTGAAAACTTACTTACTTTAAGGCGATTTACACCTTTGCAAAGAGTAGATCAACCGATGTAATAAAGATACATAAAGCATGTTGCCCCCAAGATGCTACAACTTTATAATAACACTTTATGGATTTACACTACCCATAGAGTCACCTTACTTAAAATACCATTCTTTACCCAAAAATATTTAAAAAACAAAGTAAGGTAAGAAAGAGTAGAGGAATGTGGAGGAACCTTTTTTTTGAGCAAAAAGACATGTTCTATTTATAGGACTCATGGTCTTATAACTCTCATTTGTAGGTTAATGATAAGAATAAATTGGACAATTATTATGAAATAATGTGCCTTTAAATAGGACAATTAACTTACAACGGTTAGTTGGACTAAATTCTTAATGGGACAATAAATTAATTTCTAAAATATATTATTTTATTTTTTATTAAAATATTTAAGTTCCAACAATTCTCCCACTATTTTAATAAAAAATAAACCTTTCTTTTGGGCAAAGATGGATTAATATGCATAATAAAGATAGCTAAGCCTTGAACTTTTACTTAGTGAGTCAACAATTCTTAATCCAAAGTCAATAGTGAACTAAGTTTTGAACTATGACTCCACTGGAAGACACAAGAATTGTATCACACACATAATGATCCGAATGTTGAGTTTTTCACATAGCTGGCATGTTATGGCCCTGTGTATGATCCTGGTTTTCATGGGTGATCTAGAAAATTACCCATCCAATTTTCATAGAAGCGGCCTCACTTCGACACCCAAATAGGTGAAATTTGTCAAGGGTGCTCCCATAACTAAGACACCCCACTCTATGAGCTACAAATTTCATTAAGAGTATAAAACTCAACCCTCAATTCATTATGAGATAGATGCATCCTCACCTTAAGAATGGGATCGAAAATTTTTTTTGTTAAATATTAATGCATCTTTCAACAACGACTTCTTTATGATTCGTTTTTCCCATTCAAAACCCAATTTTAGAATTCAGATTGGGTATCCTCATAGGAAGTTTTACATTATTGGGTTTGAATCCCATTCCCCTCAATGAGCACTAGACCTTGGACTATGATCATAGATTTTCCTCCAACTTTTGTTTTTGCCAAAGGCCCAGTTGGTGGTATAGTGGGTAATGAAGAGAATTAACTCATTCTCTTTTCACACTTTTTCGCATCAACTCACACATCTACTAGTTCATAAATTCACATTCATTTTTCTCAAATTCTTAATTCATGATACCACAATTTTGATATCAAATCAAGCTAGTGAACCACATTTTTCCTTTTCATACATGCAGAGACATGTATTTAAGAATTTGTTTTTAACTCAAACACCATTGTACCTTGTTGTACAATAGGAATGTCCATCACATACCCCTTTTCTCAAATGCCTTATTTTTTCTTTTTTCATCACACACCATTATACCATAATTGTATAATAGGAATGCATATCACATTTATTTTGTTAAACACCATTATACCTTATTGTATAATAGGAGTGCATATCACATTTGCTTTGTTAAGCACCATTATACCTTATTGTATAATAAGAATGCTATGCAAAATCTCAATTAAGCATCATTGGTCTCATCACCAATAATAATACATAGGGACATCACAATCTCCCACATTAGGAGCATCTCAAATATGTGATTCTCACATTCCTCAAATAATTGAGTTCATGAAGAAACTCATTTTCTCACAAGATTTTCATAAGAGCTTATTAGCTCATCTTACATTTTATCGCCACAAATGAATGTTTCCAGAATATATCAACCCAAATATCATGTCCATTTTTACCAAAATAATTACATGGACCAACTCAAGTAGCTTTTCACTTGGGTTCTTAAAGTTTCACCTAGTTCATAAAAAGAAACTCAATAAAATAGTCAATTAAATGCACATATTTAATCATTTTTTTAACCATTAAAAATAATAATCATCAATTTATTATATATTAATGGTGCATATTAATAACAAAATAATTATAATAGATCATACATGCTTACATGAGCATTTCTAATTAAACAGCAAAAATAAGAAAGCATCCTCAAATTTATAAAGCCTTTTTATATCTCAAATATATCATATTAATATATTTGCTCCACAATCACATTTAATTCAAATGGGTAGTGTGATATACTCATTGTTGACAAAACCCCCCAAATTAATATGCATGCATTAAGAGCAAACGGCTAGCTAATAATTCTTATAAATATAACCATTATTGCACTAGTAATGGCCAAAATGCACCATTAATCTATTAATTAAGTAGCACAAACTTAATATGTATTTAATACCAAATGCTAAGAACATGAAGTGTTAATTTTTCCTAACAACTACGCAAGGAGGCTGTTGAGTTTCACAATAATTATGCATGTTTATGCTTTATGTTTCAGGCAAGGTATACAATGACCAAATACCTCTGTGTGTTTAATCCAAGAAAAGTCATGAAGCCATAAGTAATCATTCCAAGTTTCCATCATTTCTATTATACAATTGGAATATTGGATAGTGATTAACTAATTAGATAAAGCATCAGCTATTGCAGGAGGGTCAAAAACTCATACCTATTTGGTGCACATATATCAAGGAAAATCAAAATTTTCTATTATGCTTGCACAAGACCTCATATGTTTTACTTTTGCTTTGCACATTAAATCGCCTCAAAAATTGTTGTTCTTTGAACACTCTCCTCTATCTCCACATCATGTTATTGTTGTGCCTTCGATCATAAGATCAAATAAAATAATAATTAATGAACTTATCAAAAAATATCAATAAGAAAATATCATCGAAATAGGCGTGAAAAACTTATTTATAGGCGTGAAAAACTTATTTATAGGTGTGAAAAACTTATTTTAAGGCGATTCACACCTCTGCGGAGAGTAAATCAACCGGTGCAGCAAAAATACATAAAGCATGTCGTCCCCAAGATGCTGCAGCTTTATAATAACACTCTATGGATCTGCACTACCCATAGAGTCACCTTACTTAAAACATCCTTCTTTACCCAAAAATATTTAGAAAATAAAGTAAGGTAAGAAAGAATAGAGGAATGTGGAGGAACCTCTTTTTTGAGCAAAAAGACATGTCCTATTTATAGAACTCATGATCTTGTAACTTTCATTTGTAGGTTAATGATAGGAATAAATTAGACAATTATTATGAAATAATGTGCCCTTAAATAAGACAATTAACCTACAACGTCTAGTTTGACCAAGTCTTTAATGGGACAATAAATTTAATTTCAAAAATATATTATTTTATTTTTTATTAAAATATTTAAGTTCCAACATAGACAACCCTTAATTGAACTATGAACATCCGTCCCATTTGTTGCTTGTTCATGTGTTGTGGTTCCTTTTGTCCGATTTAATGGGATCATTGGTCCTCTCATCAGTGTCATCACCATTGCTCCAGTAATTGTTAATATCGTCCCGATCACCTTAGCATGGCTGTGGATTGATTTAATCTTCAATTTCTCACGTCCGCAAAGAAAAAAAAAAAGACTGTGTTTAGATATGCACTAGAAAATTTATTCATTGTTCTTGTGTTAATTGAATTATATGATGCAGTTAGCTCTTTGCAAAACGGAATTTAGAATTTACCTTAGAATCCAAGCCAAGAGAAAGGTGATGGCAGGGAGAATATTGTACAAAGCAGTTGCAAAGGTTGCCGTTGTATACTTCATCCCCAAATAATACAAGTTTTGGTCAATCACCGGCCCGCAAAGTGCAAAAAAATTAATAGACATTGTTAGAAATTTTAGCATGTGCCATGAAGAAATTTGATTATACAATTCGATCAGATATTTACTCCAATAAGGCGAGCACCATTATCTTGGTGAAGATTGCAACTGTCATCTTTGGCCTTACTTTCCTGCAATCAACAACAAACATCACTCTTAACCTTCACTATGATGTATATTTTCATAGTTGTTTATAACAAATTAAGAGACAAAAAGACAGACTTATCAAAAATGGTGGCAAAAGGAGCTATAACAATGGTGGCAACTGCTTGGCGGTAGACAACAAGCACATAGTTGCTCATCCCCTGGTTCAGTGCTGCCTTGGACAGGACATCCATCCTGGCACTGCCAAGTTGCAAGAGAATGGCAGCAAGCTATGGCTTAATCTTACTAAACAAATCCATCTACTGTCTAGCATGAGAATGGTATGAGTTCACAGCTGATCCTGCACCCAATTTATAAAAATTGTAAGTGATTCTTTAAAACGTGCTCATGAGAATTTCAGATGGTTGTTGATCCTTCCTAGCTATGTACATAGGAAAGTTGTTCTACTACCACTAAGAATAAATATGCTGATCCTACGTATCTACCCTTTTTTCTGAAATAGAAAATCAGCAACAAGTTTTGTCAACATTTCCAACCAAAGAATAAATTCTTTGGTAATCTTTTCTGAAAAGAATAAACATACAACCCTTTCTCCTATGTCAAAATAGGATTCATCCCTTTGCCCTCAAGTAACATAGTTGTAGAACAAGCCAAACCCTGTAAGCAACAAATGGAATCTAGTTAAGAAATAGCTGGACCATGAACTCATAAAAATTAGACATGTGAATTTAAATACAAGACTTATATTTAACTAAAAATCAATTGGTAATAAATGTTCATTGAATTTAAATTATAAATTTTTTTATTATATTTTTTATGTGAAATTTTTCCACTCAAGATACCAAAGTTACGTAGCCATTTAAGAATGGAGTTTGAGCTCTAAAATTATATAAAAATTTAGTATGTAAATTTCAACACAGGACAGATATTTAATTGAATAGAAATCATTATCCTCTCTTTTAATCTTTTTCATTTCCCTCTCTTTAATGAGAATTGAATAGAGCTTTTCAATTTCCAGCAAACAAAGGAAAAATGCAGAGCGATAAGAGATTGGAGAAGAAAAGTACTAGAAATTCAGAAATGTTTTTGTCAAATTTTTAAGAGAAATTTAGAGGTTAGATGCAACTTTCATATTTGTGTCAGACTTAAGGGACTAATTATGTGTGAATTCAACTTAAATTTATCGATCCTATTCGATATGGTTAATTAGGAATAATCGGCGTGGAACAAATTATGCACTCAGGCTACAAGCTCATGGGTAGAGTGCATCATCCAGCCTCGCGCTGGGTTTCCCACTCCCTCGTCCCATTACAATTGTACGTAGTCCGAAAGGAAAAAATGGGTGGAACAAAATAAATTTTTGAGGACAAAAATGTAATAAACTAAAAAGATTTACACTTAGTTTGGGAGTTTTAGGTGTAACCGTAAGTTTATTAATTAATATATAAAATATATTTAATATATTTACATTTTTTTATTTTTCAAATATATATAAATATATTTAATATATCTATTATTTATTTTTATTAATATTTTATTTATTTTTAAGATAATAAAAAAATTAAAAAAATCAAAAAACTAAAATTCTAACAGGTATTCCCAAACTATGCCTACCTGAAAACAAACTATGCCTAACTGAAAAAATATGATTTGTCAATTAATTTTTTTTCAAAAGTAAGGGCGGCGTCGCTCTTGACTCTACATGGGATCCATCACTACTTGTACCAAAATAAAATATTCCATGATTCCTAAAAATCTATTGTTAGACTTTCTGTTGGTAACTTTAAATAATACTTGTATAAAAAATTATTTTTGTTATCTAGATTATGTAATATAAATTATTAGATACAGTTAAGTTTTTTAATATTAAAAGTAATTTTTTATTAAATGATTTTTGTTTTTATTTGCACCATATTGTAGTTTAAGTTGTAAAATATAGAACTTTCTTGTATATAAGATGTGAGTGAAATATAAATTTTTTTATCAAATAGAATTACTCAATAAAAATAAAATTTTTTTATATATAATTTTTTTCTCTTATCTCATTTATTAACTCACTCAATTTACATATCATATGATTCAAATTCTTACTTCTATTGTGAAGAAATTTTTATTAAATTATTTAAATTATTGGTTATAAGTAGTTTTGTATCGCAATTTCATTTGATTTTTTTTTTTTTT